AACTCTGACACAAACTGCTCTTTCAGGAACAGCTGTGCCAGAGCTTGTGACTGACCCAAGGTCACATCAGCAGGTGCAAGTGGAGGAGTGGGGAATCAAACCCAGTTCTCCCAGATTAGAGTCCGCGCACTTAACCACCACACCAAACTGGCTCTCAGAGAGGGGAGGGGGGGGGAAGTGAGGACTTGGGAAAACAACTCTGCCCAAACCGCTGGATCCTGCCTTCCACTATGGGATTGTATACTGAATGCCGCCATCACTTGCACCGTTCTTTATTAGTGTTTTTACGATGTTATGCAGGTTGTTTATGTGTATTTTATTGTATTTTGTTGTATTTACTGTTTTATTGCATTTTAATGTTTGTACACCTTTATTGCATTTTAATGTTTGTACACCGCCTTGAGCCAGTTCGCCTGGCAAGGCGGGATATAAATTGAAAATAATAAATATAAGGAATGGAAGAGGTATGGAGCAACATGCTCTTCTCCCAGGATTGAGGAAATGGCCTATAGTGAGATTAGAGCCCTGTGCAGATGAACCGTCTGCACACAGACTCACCACACAGGGAGGGAGAACAGGCATGAGCACCCTGTCCCTGCCAACTCCCTCCACGCAATGGCCAATTGTCTGCATTGCGTAAATGTGCAGAGGTAGTGCTTGTGGCGTCGCCCGTCTCCAGTGATCAGCGACGCTGCTCTCCAAATGCTGCGGATCACGGGGAGGGAGGCGTGCATGTGGGCACTTCCTCCATGCATTCATACCATGCGGAGGATTCGGTGATCACACGGAGGCAGGTGGCAGGCCGAGGACGCTCCCGCCCTCTCTCCCTCCCAGTGTGGTGAGTCGACATATCGAAGGGTTGTCTTTGCAGGACTAAACATGTGCATCATGTTCACCGTACAACACTGCTTGGACGTAGAGTTGCCAACTTGCCAGGTGGGGCCTGGAGTTCTCCCAGAATTACAACTGATATCCAGGCAGGCTACAGAGTTCATTAGGATGCAGTGCTCTTTTTGTAGCAGGAACTCCTTTGCATAGTAGGAGACAGACCCCTAATGTAGCCAATCCTTAAAGAGTTTACAGTAGCCCCTGTAAGAAGAGCTCTGTAAGCTCTTGGAGGATTGGCTACATTAGGGGTGTGTCGCCTAATATGCAAAGGAGTTCCTGCTACAAAAAGAGCGAGGATATTACGATGAACTGGCTATTTGGATCCTAACACTCCATTCGGCAAAGCCTGAAGTCTTCTCCTAGCCTAAGGAGTCTTCCTTCCTGAGGGACAAGCTGTGGCTCAGTGGTAGAGCATCTGCTCGACATGCAGAAGGTCCCAGGTTCAATTCCCGGCATCTCCAGTTAAACGGATGGGATAGGAGGTGATGCGAAAGACCTCAGCTTGAGACCCTGGGGAGCCGCTGCCTGTCTGAGTGGACAATACTGACCTTGATAGACCAAGGGTCTGATTCAGTTCTAGGCGGCTTCATGTGTGTTCATGTGTGGGACTCAGGGGTCGTTTCATAGAAAAAGAGCTAGGGGAACTCATTAGCATAACTCATTAGCATATGCCACACCCCCTGACATCACTGGAAGTGTGTCATAAGGCCACACACCCCGCCCCCAACGGTCCCGGCCGCCGCCCATGAGGGGCCCGGCGGTGGACCTGCAAGGCCAGCGGGAGTGCAAGGAAGCCCCGCGAAGGCCCTCCCTGGCCCCAGGCAGGCAGGGGTGGGGAGAGGCAGGGAGGAAGCAACTTACCCTCCCTCTTCTCCTGCCTCCTCCTGGCTGAATGAGGGCCAGAAGCGGGGCAGCCAGAAGCTAATGGACAAAAATACTTTGTTCTGCTCAACACTTCAGAGGAGTGATTATTTCCCTCATTCCCTTCTCTCTTTTGATGCCCTCATTTCACGCCACCCTTTTGTGTCGCTTCAGGTTAGAATTACAAAGAGGGGTGGGTGGGGGGAACAAATAGTGTCCACCCGCCCAAGACGATTAGAAGCCTGGTCTTGTTGGGAGCTAATTGTTTAATCACACGCCACCTGCTAGACAGAGGAGAAGTGTGTCGTTCGATAACCGAAGGACACTGATTCTCCCGCCAGCGGCCACAACCACAACCTGGGCTTTTTGCCACGTCGCTCCATAGAATGTGCCAACCTGCTTTGATTGCAGAACCCCCGTGTCACATTCGTGTAGCAAATTAAACCTCTTTTCTCTCACAGTGCGTCAGTCATAAAACCCAGTGGCATTTCCAGGAAAGTGGAGGCGGGAGGCCACTTTTTGTTTTTTTTCAGCCTGGGGACAGATGTGTCACTCACTTTGCACATCCAGGAGGTCTAATTTGAGGGTCAGCTCACATCACTGGCTTTTTCAGAGGGGAAAAAAAAAAGAATGTGGCGTTCGACTGGCGTACAAAAGATGATGAAGAAGAAGAGACTGGATTAATACCCCACCCTTGACTCGGAGTCTCAGAGCGGCTTACAATCTCCTTTCCCACCT